AACTCTCCATAGCTTCCACTGTTTGTGTTACTACACATTTAATTTGGTAGAAGAAATGAAATGAAGGGAAAAATGTAATTCTTGAGATGAAAAAATGGGTTCTTCTTGCGTAGTGGGATAATTTTAAAGGTTTCTTTAGATCGTTTCTTCTTATGTGGAATGAACAACCTGGAGATCGAGAATCTACATCGGTTTCCGTGATTTTCTCTCGTATAAATATTGTGATTTTCTTCTCTCCACCTACTATTTTTTTTTTTGTTAAATTATTATTTGTAAATTTTATTATTCCTAATCATTTAAGGCTTTCGCTTTCATGAAATTTGTGCAGTATTACCTGATAACCCCCCACATCAATTGAATATTAGCAGATTTGACTCTTTATTTCTCAATCTCACAGTTTTACAAATTATTTTTTTTTCTTTGACATTTATGAAAAAAAAAAAATCGACATTGACATATAATTATGAAAACAAGTCGAAGGAAGTGTTCAATCCAAATTTCGTTTCGCGGTGGTTTGGATTTTCGGTTTATGAATAATAGTAGTATATAAAGTAAAATTTAATGTGTTATAGATAGTTTGGTACAATTTCTGTATTCAATTAGTAATCGAATATCATTGGTTAAATAAAAGACTTAGACTTTGGATAATTTTTGTTTAATTGTTCATATACGGGTTTGGATATTTTGGATATAAAAATAAATTTAAAATATGATTTGGTTTTCGGATCGGATAGTTTAATTTGGTTCGAATTGGATCAAACTTATTTATCGAAATTGAGCACTTTTGTTGAATCATCAACGTTCCATAAAAATATAACTTTTACATCGTATTCCATGTCAAAGTAATATACAACATTTGTTATTTATATTAAGAGTAGGGGCCTTTATGAAAATTCTGTAAGAGAAAAAAGATCTTTCTAATTCAAGAAGCTGCCGAGAATCAGAGAACGTGAAATGATTAATGGGAAGATTTGGGGGATTTCATTATTTTTGGCAATGGAAACTAATATGGTCAATAAGAAGCGGGCCTATATATTAAATAAACCCACTTGAAATACTATACTAATCTAATTTCTAACTATAGGTATATGTTTCTTGTCTTTTACTCTTTATTTCTGTTATAATGTTTATTACTATTGAAACATTTATTTATAGGGGGAAATTTTATAAAACCTATATGCAATATGTTCTATCATATATAGATGTATAACATATACATTTATTTGGCACATGGTCGCATACTAATATCTCTGCGTCAGCTATACAAAGACAACTGTTATTTTACTAACATTTTTTGTTAATTTTACGTTGTATTTGTATATGTAAACGTCACAATTTCTAATGATGCATTATCTTTGCGTCATCTGTATGATAAAATTATAAAATTGACCTCCTACTTGTAAATGGCCTATACCATTCGACCCAACCTAAAGCACGTGCTCGATATTTCCGAATCTATAATTTATAATACTTGACATTAATTTCGTGATTCAGTTCGATTATACGGATCATTACACTCTTCTCCCTATTTGCAAAGACATCGTAAATTAATAATCACAAACTAAATTAATTGAGAAACAAATCCACTAAAGTTTAGGTGTTATTTCGCACGTTGGATTATCAACGGTACTTGGACTTGTCATTGCACAATACGTAAGACTTGTTGGAAAATGGTTACACGAAATTTAACGATTTTGCACCAATGGTTACATCCAAAACCAGGCATCGATCTGGATTATCAGCTGATCCATAATTATCAGTTCCAAAATAACCATAAACTCTCCCAGTTTCTTTGGATGTTATTAATTAGGCAGTGTATCATAAGATTATGAGGTAATTTTTTTTGTTTCCAACATAATGAACATATGATATTCAATTCTTTCTTTATAATTTGTTATATAAAAAAACTGAAAAAATTCGTTAAGTGGATCCAACCATTAAAACAAAAATTCCAAAAAGAGTATAACAAACATGTGGAAGTTGGGAAAAAACCGGTGGAATGTAATCCAAAAAA